AGCACCAAACTGAAAAGGACTTACTCCCAGGTAGGTGAGTTTAAGACTGCAGCTTTAAAGTATTTGTGGACTGCTCCCAAGAGGTGCATCAATGGGAAAAGGTGAAATTCCTCAGAGCTTTTTGAAAGTAAAAATAATCTAAACAAATTAAAAGTACTTACATATTTAAAAGATGCACACATCCCCCTTTAGCAGAAATATCTTAGAAAAACAACAACAGGATGCACACTGGCAGAACCAGTAACTTACACTTCACAACATGAAACATTGGAAAGTAACTGTCATACAGTTTTCTACAAAAATTAACATTTGCATCATTGCCAGCATAGTAAGGTTGACTTTTTTTAAGTATGGCAAAACTGGTGCTAAATAAATCATTACCAAGGTACTATAAGTAAGACAGCATACTGTGCAATTCTAACCCTCTACCTACAATATGCTTATTTGTCAACCTATGGGCAACATTCTCTTTAGTATATTATGCCTTCCGTAGTCATAATGGCACCAAGGGGGAAGTCCTATTCATGAAGTTTTTCCATCGGGGCACAGTGCAATGGTTACAATGGGAAATGTACAATTCCATTGAAGAGTAATGCTGGTCATATTTACATGGGAGTAATTTTACACTATGCTTGCAGAAATAATTTTGCCCTATGAATTTGTCACACAGCTCCCATTAGGAGGAATTCAAGACACTTAGCAGTGTCAAACATTTTTAGCAATGGTACAGAACAAGGTCACTTCACTGTTTAGTTTTTCACATTTATCCAGCCAGGTAAATCAACAAAAGAATTATTATGCAATATCTACCTACCTACCACCACTCTGCTTCCTCACAGTGGCCAACCAAATGTAGGCAAGCAGCCCACAGACAGGACCGGAGAGCAACAGCCCACTATCACTGTCATTCCCCAACATTTTGATAGCCACCTCACTGTAGTTCAAAGTGAGCTAAAGCATTCTGCAACAGGCAGACAGACTGCCACCACTTTGAGCAGTTCATTCTACATTTACTAAATTCACCCAACATATAGTTCAGCAGGCTTCTTCCAGATCAAGCTAGTAGTCTTCCACTCACACAATAGGGTTTCCTTTCCTATTTTCTATCCTGTGCTCCCATGTATGCCCCAGATAACATGTGGAGATGAACAAGGTAACCTATTGTGCCAGTGGCGTCTGTTTAGCCGGAGTACAGTATGAGCAACAATGACACAGTGCAAGTATATACATCATTATACAGGTTATTTAATGCTCCTGATTTATTTTGGGTGGAATTATTAATAGCTGCAACCTCATATAAACCAAAAAAGCTAAAAACAAGGCAGAATATTTAAACATATTTTATATACTAGAAGTCAAGAACACACAACTAACAGGCTATGGATAAAATCCAATGCACAAGTCCAGTGAAACTGCTTAGGATTCAGCTGCCTATAATGACTGAGTAATACAAATTTTATAGCTAGGTTCAGGCTAGCTGGACTAGCAAGCATGATGTTGGCAAGACCACAAATGAACATACACATATAGTTGCTAGGTAACTATGGAAGTACTGGTCATGGCATCCAGATTCACCATCAGCATTACCATATGCTTGCACAGTTTTCAATCAACCACATGCAATTCCCTTTCTGCCTCTCTTTTAGCTATACAGCTCATGGCCGTGATGGGGAATAAGATGTTGGCCTCTCAATTCTGTTCTACATTAGACTGGTCAATGTAGCCAGAATTGCTAAGAATTGTCCTGCTGTTTATGAATAGTACAAACTGCCCAAATACCTGATATGACTCCTCCCACCAGAGGGAGTTGATAAACTAAATTGAATCTAATGAGGAAGCAGAAGAATTTCCTTGCATTTGAAGTCTTCACTTGTCACTCTAACAACCTACAGCCTAAAGACTAAGTTTACTGCTGATCTCTGCTGCTGTCCTTTTAGGGGTGCAAACAACAATAGATTGATATGTTGTAAGCAGAAAACCTTATTTCCTCTTTATCTTTCAATTAGCTTAGACGCTCCTCCTGGCAAAAGGAGCAAAGTAGATGTCATCAAACAACGATGAAAAGCATTCCACTTACAAATAAGTTGGAATTCTCAACAATTCTGTTGTCATTTCAATCCCCCAGGTCTATTCATATGCCATAACAAGGTGCTACATAAAAAGGCAATCTAAATTTTAATAACTGTTGTGCACCTCCAGAACCACAGCCAACTAAGAGCAATAGAGGAACATCTGCTAGACATGGAGCCTCATGTTGTAGGACTAGTAAAGAAAAATCAACCTAACTGAGTAACAGGGTTAGAAATAGTTTGCTGAGACTCTGAATCTAAGCATGCATTCTTAGATGCTCAGTTAGAGGTGTGTTTGCAGACAAACATGTTTCACATTAACTAGTAGTATCCTAAAATTTCATTTATGCTGTTGTGATCAACCAAAAATCAAGTATGAATCAAACAGC